TGACCAATGGGATGAATTCATGAGTTGGCCAGCCTAGACTTAGTAGCACAGACTCTGATTATTGGCCCAGGAAAGCCACCTGGCCCAATGGCTACAACCTCTACCTTAATAGCCTAATACTCCTCACAAAAATCATGAGCCGTCTCTTTTGTTACTAGTACTGTATGTCTTTATGTGCTATTAAGCCTGTCCTTCTTGAAAATGTTTCAGCGTGGAATGTTCATCATTACTGAAAATCAGATATATGTATGAAATTGTCCACTTTCTCTTCATCTGATGAAGCTTTGTTTACCTGGAGAAACGGAGATGGACAGAGCGTCAGATGTAGCCTGGTGGCAGCCATATTTATCATCCTTCTTCCTGTTAGGGTGGAACCTCCACGTGTGAACCCTGATTGACTTGTAGAGTTTATTAAGGCCCGGCCCAACGCAGGGAGATTTGCCCTGCCCTTAGATATTCCCTAGTCAAGACAAGGTGCCATTGGGGCCACAATTGATGCTTGGGTCCATTTTAGTTCGGCATCTCCTTCTGCCCATCCTGGAAAAAACTGGGAAACTGAAAGGAAGAACCAGAAGCTTTTTCAAGTCACATGGTCTAGGAATGATTAGCTTGGACCGACTCTAGCAAGATGTAAGTTTGTACACATAAGATTCAGCTAGATCTGGTTGAGGCTTCCGAGCTATGCTATCTGATTAGGTAGCCACAAGGTAGGTGCATGTGGCTTCTAAAATTTAAGTTATATAAAGTTTAAATTCCAGTTCCTAGTCATACCAGACACATTGCAAATGCATAATAGCCACATATGGCTTGTGGCCACTGTATTGGGCAGTGTAGATTATAGAACATTGACATCATCCTAATACGTTCTGTTGCATAGGGCTATTCTAGAACAGGGGTTGTTTGTCACTTCTGACTGATTTGTATTGGCTGTCTGGAGGACTGTGTAAAGAAGTTTCTGAGGCCATATCTAAGTGAGCCCCAAGTTGTTTGATTATTTACTGGCAACGTATGTTCCAGGAAGACAGAGCCGGGTCGGGTAGGGATAGTTGTGACATAGGTCCTGGGTGTCTTCTAGACAAAACCTTAGAAGTAAGAATAGAATATTTAAAATAGAGGGTCAGTTATTATTTAAAGAGACAGGTTACATTTTTAGCAGGAGTCGTTTGTAAAGAAAGATGAGGGGCACCTGGCTGGCTCCGTCGGTTAAGCCTCTGACTGCGGCTCAGGTCACGATCTTCTGGTTTGTGAGTTCAAGCCCCTCATCGGGCTCTGTACTGACAGCTCAAAGCCTGGAGCCTGCTTCAGACTCTGTGTCTCCCTCTCTCTCTGCCCCTCCCCCTGCTCACACTCTGTTTCTCTCGCTCGCTCAAAAATAAATAAACATTAAAAACTAAAAATGAGAAGCTTTAGAAGTTTTATTATTCTTTATATAATCTCTCATTTAAGTAGTGGTCCCTCTGCTACTTCAAAATAATGATGATATTTTGTTTTTGTGTAGAAGCAAATCACAATAGCTACCATTTTTTGGTTTATGCATGAAATGAGGAATCAATGTTACATGAAAAAACAAAACCCACAAAGAACCACCAAGAATCTAAAATTCATTTCATGTTCATGCCTCCTTTTACTATACCTGCTAAGAAACCAAACCTATTGATGGGGATGTTGGGTTCTCCCCCCCCGCCCCACTTCTTTAATATCCTCTGGTGAAGGGTAACATGGGGAATAATATTTAAGGCAAAGTGTATTTAGTGCCTGTATAATCACTGTTGTCAGAATTTGAGATAGTTAATTATATTTTCAAAAATCTCTAAGAATTAAGGATAACGAGGACTGTTTCCTACTAGTTTTAAAACTAGAAAATGGATTTTAAAACAAGAGTACCAGTTCTGCAACTGTTACGTGACCTTGAGCAAATTAGTTACGGTAAACTCTGAGCCTTAGGGTCTCCATCTCTGAAAGGGAGCGTAACAGTGTCTGCTTCCGTGAGTGATGGGTAAGGAGTAAGTGAGATCTAAAACCTCACTTCCAGGTGCCTGACATTACTATTCAAATGTTAAACCACGTTTGGGGTAAGTATACCACATGCACTTGGAGGAGAACATTTTCTGTCTAACCGTGGCCCTGCACTTAGCAGGTATGTGACTTTTGTCTGATTGCTTACCGTCAGAATTATCAAATTGATTTTAGTTTCCTCTTTTATAAAATGGGGGTAACAATAGAACCTACTTCAGAGGGCTTGCTCAGGGTGAGCTAATGCATATCAAGACAATGCAAGGACATCTAATACATGGCACATGGTGAGCAGTCAATAACTTAGGTATTAGGATGAAAATGACGGTGTTTAAATTAGGGGTAGCCTTGCCAAAAGAGAGAAGATTGAAGAAATCTGATATTTCTTCTCTTTCCCGTCCACTAATCTCCAAACTATACAGTTTATACTAAACATGGTAAAGTGTGTACATTTTGTTTATTTTATTGCTGTTCCACTATAAATTATTAATAAGCCTCTTGCATTAGGGTTTTGGCATGCTGCCTGAGGCAGCAATAGGAGAAGCTGCTAGTTATCATAAAGACCTTTCTCACTCTATAGCGTTTTTACAAGCTGCGAGCTCATGTCTAATTTGAAAGGCCTGATGCTTAAGGCCAGGGAGCAGGGCAGGAAGGAAGAGGGCTCAGTGTGGGGCAGGGGTGAGTTCGGTCCTTTTATTTTATTTATTGTCTGAGAACCTGACCTATGTTGCCTCTGGGGTGTAGGAAGAAGGCACGGCTCCTTGAAGGCTCTAGGGGCCAGAAAATACTACCATAACCTGCCCCAGTATATTCCCTCCCTACCCTTTCGTCTGCGTGTGTCTTCTCAAGGGGGTCAGAAATGATGAGCCAAGGTTGGCTTCTGAAGCTTCTTCTAAAGACAGGTCCACACTGAAGGGTGCAGCCTGAGTGTCCCGTACCCCAGCCTCCACAGACACTCCTGACCTATGGAAAATGCTTTCTTCCCAAGAAAACTATTTGAGTCCTTTGGTGTGAAGGCCTAGTCCTGGGCTGTTTCGCGTACTGAGTTCTTTAACTAGGGATGAAGTACTATACGGTTGCTAGAAATGATTTGTTTCAGAATTTTCAGAGTTAAAAAAAAAAAAAAAAAGACAACGCTCCAGAATTCTTCTGTTTGTAAATGTCAAAATTGCTAGGCTGTTAGGGCATTTTGGAGGAGGATGCTTTTCCTGGAATTTCCATCTCCTGTGCCTCACGCTCAGCACCCGGCATTCAGCTTTGTGCCCTCCCGCCTTTCATCATCCCCTCCCTGTGCAACTGATTTTGAAACACTTTTCAAACCATCCTTTCTTTTCGGATTTCATCCTCATCACACAGGTTTTAAGCTCACCACTTCGTGTCTGTATTTCTCATAATAATTTACATTTTCTCTTTTGGATGATAAAAGTACTCCATGCCCTTTAGGAGTTTATATCTGTGTGTGTGTGTGCGTGTGTGTGTTTAAGGAAATTTGGATCTGCTTTTTGTACAGTTTCATAGTGTGATTTTTTTTCTTTAACCTGAGATATTAACATGTTCCTACATCGTTATGAATTTTTCAGAAAACTGTAACAAATGCATAGCGTTCCCTTATATAGACAGAGCAAAATTTACCAAACAATACCGTTAGTCATTCTGATCTTTCCCTTTTTCAATATTGAAATCGATGCCTGTTTTCAAAATCTGTTCACAATATAGTGTAGTGAGTAAGAAGATGGGCTTTGGAGCTCCAAAGACCGGGGTCCAGATCCTGGTCTGACCAATTGTTCATAGGCCTCAGTTTGATTCTTTGTAAACGGGGATTATGAAGGCACTTACCGACAGAATTATGACAGTGGAAATGAGATGCGTGTAATGTACTCATTTACGCAGAGCTTTGCACATTCTCAGTTCTGCTAAATAGTGACTGCTATCACGATAGTCACCCTCATTAATCATGTGCAATTAGTTTTTAGCACAGTTGCTAGAAGTTAGATGATAGCATCAAAGTGTACAAATACTCTGATACCTGTAATAATCGATTGCCAAATTGTAGAAAGATTCTACCAATTTATAGTCACATAAATAGTAGAGGTACATATCTAATATAATGTTTTTTGTTGTTAGGTATCGATGTATATACGAAAATGGCCTCTTACATTTACATTCCTTTGATTTTCCAGTGGAAATGACTAGTTTTAAATGTTTAGTTGGTTAATTATATTCCTTTTTTGTAAATTGTTTATTGGGGTCGGTGCCCATTTTTCTTTTGCCTGTGCATCTTTTGTCTAAATGAGTGAGTTCTTTGTATGTGACAGTAATTATTTTTTTTTTTTTAATTTTTTTTTTCAACGTTTATTTATTTTTGGGACAGAGAGAGACAGAGCATGAACGGGGGAGGGGCAGAGAGAGAGGGAGACACAGAATCGGAAACAGGCTCCAGGCTCTGAGCCATCAGCCCAGAGCCTGACGCGGGGCTCAAACTCACGGACCGCGTGATCGTGACCTGGCTGAAGTCTGACGCTCAACCGAATGCGCCACCCAGGCGCCCCAACAGTAATTATTATTGTGTGTAACTAAAATTTATTGTGCATTTAGAACTTGTAGATGAGAGAACAAGGGTCAGAAAGGCTGAATATCTTGCCTAGTGTCTTAGACCCTTGTCTGGCACAGAGTAAATACACAGTAACCTCTTGCTGTTGTGGTTATTGATCTTTGTATTTCACAGCGCCTGGCACAGTACAGTACTTTGCACACGATACGAGCAGAATACTTAGTTGGTAACTTACATTGACGCCAGCCACCCTCGCTTCTCTGAACTCTTTGATGGGCACAGAAGCCAGCCTCTAATGGGTGCCTTTGTCACAGCCCCTGTTTTGGCTCAGATGAATCAGCATCTCCTGGACTTTCCTTGATTTCCTCCATATGTTCTTAATGATACTTTTCTAAAATGCCGTGAAATCATGTTATTTCCCTCACTTCACTTCTAGGTAACAAACCTGAATTTGGCAAGCGGCGCCATAAGCAGAAGCAGCGCTTCAACGCCCCCCACCCTTCGGCCCGTGATCAGTCCTAATGGCCCGACATGGTCCATACAGTCAGACCTTCAGGCTCCTGAGAGCCACCCCACCCCTCCTGGAAGCAGGTATGTGAAGGGTCCTGGAGCTAGTGCTTGAGTCACCGAGACAGCCTGGGTCCTAAGAGGGCCGTTCCTACCTTGAACTCCCTGCACAGACTCCCGTGGTCTGTGCCTTTCCCCACGTGTCCCAGTAGTCTGGCACTTGAATTGAGGGCCTCGTTTTATTTGTAAGACAGTTTGTGGACAAATCAAAGGCAAAGGAAGTTTCTGATACAGTTCAGTGAGCTCACTTGGGGGTGAAAGAGGAAGAATTTAAACTATGTTTAATCCTTGCCTGTCGTCAACATTTTCGTGTTTTGACCTCTGACATTTTCTCCCTGTCTCCTCAGACTTGTGCTACATTGCATTTCAGTAACTTAGTAACTTTGGATTCTCTTTTTTTTTTTTTTTTTTTTTGAGGGACATATTTGTTTTTTTATGTTTTCATCTAGGTTATGTAATTAAACTCAAACAGCCTCCCTGGACAATGTTCACTTGGGAAGTGGGGAGGAAATGTCCTTTATGTAGTTGAGCAAAGTGGCAGAGGATAAAATCCAAATAGATTCTGGCCATAGAGTAAGCAACTTCTGAATTAAAAAAAGAACCACTGTATTGAATTCTAGTCTCAATCCGTATTTTTTTTTTTTAAACGTTTATTTATTTTTGAGACAGAGACAGAGCATGAACGGGGGAGGGGCAGAGAGAGAGGGAGACACAGAACTGGAAGCAGGCTCCAGGCTCTGAGCCATCAGCCCAGAGCCCAACACGGGGCTCGAACTCATGGTCCGTGAGATCGTGACCTGAGCTGAAGTCGGACGCTCAACCGACTGAGCCACCCAGGCGCCCCTCTCAATCCATATTTTAAGTCCCCTATTAAAAAACAAAAATTTAAGAAATGGATTCCTAGTACATCTTGCCTTCGTGACTATTAAATATGGGTTTAATTGCATCTGTCCCTGAGTGAAATGAGCTAGAGAGGAATGTGATCGTTCCGATCAAGTATTCTGTTCCCTCCAAATAAAGATATTGTCCCCTCCAAATAAGGAAGCTCTGGCCCGGGTGCCCCACTGAGTCCCCACCCCTGCCCCAGCACTTCCAGCCTCTGAGGGTGGGAGGGTGACCCAAGACTTGGGCATAAAGGAAATTGCTATTTGTCAAAGTATCTGTTGGTGTTAGAATCATTACTGAAGGAACTCATTTGGGAAGCAGAGACTCTGCCCGGGAAACAACATAAACATAAGCACATTACGTCACGCTCGAATCCAGTGTCGTTCGTACCAGTAATCATTGCAGTCAAGGGTGAAAAGAATCATCCTAACTGAGAATCATAAAGAGTCGAAGACCAGGAGACAGGCCTGTTTGAGAGAGGACATCCTCCCACAAAGTTCTCTTCACAGAAAGAAGTCTGTCGTTTGGTGATTTACAGTCCACAGAATAACCACATTCCTAAAACATAGGTCGTAAAAGAGAAATTCTGTTTATACCATAGAGCTCTATTTTCCATATAAAATATTTCCAAATATTCCATTTTCATTTTATAATCAGAGCCTTGTTTCTGTGGAAAACATTTTCCCTGCAATCTGGGGTATATTTTCTATCTATATGACAAGACTGTAACCATTTTCTGTACTATAAACAAAATGTCAAAACTACATATTTTGGAGAAGTAGACTTGTAGATGGAACGAGGAAAACTTTTTTTTTAATAAAAGTTGTGGCTGGGTTTCGAGCCTTCTTTTCGTAGCACCTGTTTGTCAGAGCTGAGACACAGAAAGATGCGGGAATCCGTCCAGCACTGTGCGTGGTCTTTTTCTAGCCAGACCGTGCTTGTGACCTACAGGAAAATAGCACATTATACCACCGACTGAGCCACTGGCCTCAGAAAGCAGCTCCCGCAGAGTCCCCTGGCCTTTTCCTTTTTGGGTTAGTTGTGCCCAAAGCCGCCCTCTTGTCACCTGCTCTTCAAGCTTAAGGACCAGTTTTCAGGTCCCATTTCAGTGTGGGGTGGCCCTGGGGAACCCTCCTCTGCCCTCAGGTAACCTCTGGTGGCCAGAACAGCCCGGAGGTTCGGCTTGGGGATTCCAGTTCCGTGTGGAGCTCCCAGAGGTGCCCACCCTAACGCAGTGCTAACTGAGTTCCCCAAGCTCCTTCCAGACCTGGCGGTGTCGCAGGCCCCAGCCAGACACTGCCAGCAGGCATTCCACGCGGTAACGGGCCCCGGTCTCCATTTTCACCCGGTTCAGTCACCGTTTCGTGGCTCTTGGGTCCCTTGTCCCTCTCTTAGTAGTAAGGGTGACTGAGTTCCATGAATATGGGATCAGTAGCTTAGAGATGTGAGTTTTATTACTGGTTTTGACACTAAGGGACCCTAACCTACTTATTTAATCTTTTTCTTGGGCTGTTTTGAGAGCTTTTAGAATGTCCTTACAGCACTTTGCCCTCCCTGGAAGTGGATGCTAAGTAAATAAGAGGTACGCCTGCTGGTTCATCTACGAAGCAGCAGCGGATTCCAGCGCTGAGAAACTCTGACAATTCACTAAGCCAGGCGCTGTCCCGTAAACAGTAACAAGATGTAAAGAGAATCCATCGCTGGCAGTGCTCCTCATGTGCATATTGGAGGACTCAGTGACTTGGTAGCCACAGGAATGAAAACTGGTGACTCACGAGAACTCTGCAAATAGTGTTATTTTTCATTTCCCTGTGGTGTTGCTATTGTTCTCGATTTTATGGATCACACAAGTTTTCACCAGACAACCTTGTTCTTCCCCCGCTGTTTTGAAACCACCCCAAACGTAGCCTCAGGGCTGTCGTCTCCCATTGGGTCAGTGTGAGCTCAGCCCAGCTCCTCAAATCCCTTGGTTCCTCTGGTCTGTCTGGAGTCCCTGCTCAAGCTTTGTTGTGGGAGAGGAAGGCAGAGAGCCCACGACTTGCCCAGACAGTCTGAGGCCTGGCCATGTAGCTTGCAGTTCCCTAGACACTCTGGAGCTGGACTTGGCCAGCCATTCCTCTGTTGTTACTTTTCAGAGGTAATAAGTGAGATTAATTGCAGGCCATTCTCCAGAAGAGAAAGTAGTCGGGGCCAAGATCAGTCACATGTTTAGAAGCCTGAGTGAGGTGTACCTCCAAGCAAGGCCGATTTAGAATTAGACAATAGGGCCTCCAGGGTGCAGGTACCAAGTGTTCATGACCTCTTTTTTCTTAAAGGGATCGGTTTCGGTCTCTAGATGCTGATAGCTGGGTAGTTAAGCTTTTCTTTAGCCAATGAGATGGGTGGGATTTTTCGGCTGCCTTTTAACTACACGTTTTCTGGGCACATGGGGACATGGTTAGGGGCCTGAGGTGATAAAGCAGAGGCATCTCAGCACTGCCAGCCTTGCCTGGTGTCGGATCATGTCAGGGAGGGGCATTTTCTAGGTGACGAGCACTCAGCGGGTTCACAGTGCATCTTTCTTTGTGAGACCTGGAAGGGTTACTGTAAAGTCTTGGCTGCTGCTTGGAATGATTTGGGAAGGACAGGGCCTCAGACGGCTTGGCAGGAACCTGAGGCCCTGTTTTTTTCCAGTCCAACCCTTCCTTGTGGATCGAGCTGTCAGGGAATCCCACGAATGTCTGGCTTCTGCCCCTTTGTATGTTTTTCCAGCATTTGTCATTGAATTATTTTTATCCATCTCTGGCTTTTTCACACATGCAACCTGGGGATTTGTCTGTTCCTCGATATTAAAGGTGGGGGAGTTGGAAAGCACAGCCATGGGTTTGTTCCTCCTTTTTGTGACAGGGCAAGACATCATGGGCCTGGGGCGCTCGCCCTGATGGCCCCCGCTCTCGAGAATAGCTGCGTGTCAGAACTTTAAGTTCTGTATGGGGAAATGGGGTACAATGAAGCACCAAATCTGGGAAATCTGGGCTAGATGTCATGTCACTCTGTCCCTTCACCCTCTTACTCTCCAAAAATTAAATTATAAAGAGTCCGATGCCCTACTTCACATAATTTTTAGGAACAAGTTTTTCAGAGATTTTGATTCTAGTTTAAGCTAATACTTTTCTCCCTTCAGATTGTTTCTTATAAATGTTGCTGTAGAGTCAGGTCTCTGACTTCCCATCGTTTCGTGCTTAATCAGTCCTCAGAAATATCGAGTTTGGTATTTAAAAAAAAAAAAATACATCTTATTCATTTTCCAGGTGCCAGGCATTAGGTCAGGTGCCGGGGAGTCATGATAAATAAAACAGAAGAGTGCCTGATCTCACGGAGCTTACTGTCCATGATGTATCTTTCATGTTCTCAGCATCATCCCGGGCGCTGGGTATGGTCTAAAAGATTTGGAAAACATGGTTTTTGATCACAAAGAAGTCACCATCTGGCAGAGAAGGGGAAAAAAATTGCAGAGTCGTGTCAAATGGCACATAACAAAGATTTAAATTTTCTGGCCCAGGCAATTAGAAGAAAAGATATCAAGAAGAGTGTGGAAGGATTTAATCTGGTCGCTGCCACGTGGGTGAACCTTGAGGCCATTACGTTACGTGAAATAAGCCCGTCACAAAAGGGCAAGTACTGTATCATTCGATCCACATGAAGTGTCTAAAGGAGTCATAGAAACAGGAAGTGGGAAGGTGGTTGCCAGGGGCTGCGGGAAGAGGAGAGGGGTATTAGTATTTAGTAGCTACAGCTTTTCAGTGTTGCAAGATGCAAAGGTTCTAGAGATCGGTTGCACAACAGTGTGAATATACTTAATATTATTGAACTATACACACAGAAATCGTTAGGTGGTAAATTCAAAGTTAGGTGTTTTTTACTGTACTACAAAGGAGTATCGTAAGGATTTAAAAGAGAACCCCGTAGTTGCGCACGCATTTTACTTAGTGATTAAAATGGCAACGTTTTGCTCCTATCCTCTGCCTGTCTGTACAGAGACTTATTCTGAGCCTAGTCCTTTAAATGCTTCTATTTCTTTAAGAGTATGTTAACTTTATAGGAAAGGGGGCCGTTGACCTGTCTGAGGAAGGTGGCATGATGTGATAGAAAGAGAAGGGACTGTTGAGTTGGAAAGACCTGGGTGTGCCTTACTAGGTATGCGACCTTGGGCAAGTTACTTTGCTTCTCTGGGCCACAATTTCCCCCTCTGCATAGATATGCAAATGATGGCTACCACATTAAGTTGTTCTAAGATTTAATGGAGTTATGTACATGAAAGCCAGTTTAGCGCCTGATTTTAGTGGTAGGTTGTTGATAATATTTAGTTTTCTTCCCAGAAAAAAATGAAAGTTAAAACTGGGCTTGATGGGGTCTGATATTGCTACCCACTTGCTTTTGTATCTAGTATGGGAGAAACTGGCCATCACCCATGTATGGTGTGCTCCCGGGGCTGGATTACAGAGATGTGGCCTTTCCCACTGAGGAAGGGAAGGCATCAGAGTGCAGCCAACTGGAGACTCTTCCTTTTCCTCTGACCTCTTTGTTGAAGGGTGACCTCTGCCTACTCAACAGGCCCTTCCTCTCTGCTATCTTCTTCTGAATGTTGAAGTTTCCACTGCAGCTCGATGTTCCAGCCAGTAAACACTCATATTTTCCATCTATCCTGGGGGTCGAGCTTTGGGAGAGCTTTTCTCTGGAGGAGTTTGGAGCTTATAATTTTGTACTTTATACTGTTATATAAACAACACTCTCTAGCCAAAGAGCACAATCACAAAAAGAAACCACTTTTAGGGGGGGGGGCCTAAAAAAAAAAAAAAAAAAAAAGAAGAAGAAAGAAACTCTTTTATGCTCAGAGTTCTGTAGAAGTGATATTTCACTTCTTATTCTCCTTCCTTCTTTCCCACAAAATAAAGTTAACCTGGCCTTCCTCCTGCGGAATCTTAGCTCTTACCGGTCTCTTCCCCTTGAGGAACATGTTTCTTCAGCACATGAAGGATAAAGGTCTGTGCTTCTATCTAAAATTCCCCTGCTGCTTTTCTCACTCAGCCAGACACAGAACCTCTCCAGGGTTATGCTCTGTGTCGGTTCAAGCTCTGTGACAGATTCTACAGTTCCTCATTCACCGGGAGAGCCGAGTGTCATAGGTGTTTGTGCCAAGGCCAGAATGATTGGGCCTCTGCCTGTTGAAGGAATGCTGGTAAACCTAGGAAATGTGTGAGAGATAGCTGGCTAGACATCATAGCAAGGCCTGGGCAAAGTACGTTTGGGAATGTTTGGGCCTAGTACCAGGAGTGAAAGAAGTAGGTCTTTTCTTATCTGCGAGCCAAAATGCAGGTTGCTGTGTGGTGTGTGTGTGCCAGTGCAGTGTTTCTTTAGTCAGCCTCCTCCCCTCCCCTCCAAAGTATCAAAGAGAAACCACCTCACATTTCCTTAGGATTAACACACAGGCACGTATGCTAACCGCCAGCCACACAGAGTCGCCATCGGAGGCAAGACTGTATCTTACGTGACTGTTCGCTTTATAATTTTAGATCTATCCACAGTTGGTGATTATGGTGGTTTTAACAGGCCTGAATGACAAAAATTCGCATATGAAGCTGGATGAGGCTCCTTTTCTCGAATTAAGAAATTCGATCAGTGACTCAATTCATAATTCAGTTTAATTCTCACCTGGTTTTTCTATCATCTTCCATCTGGCCAAGTTCACTCTGTTTACCAGCCTTGAAAGAGCTTGGAAAGAATGGCAGTAGTAAAAAAAAACACACACACACACAAAAAACACACTGTATCTTTCTCTCTGGCTCCTGTAGGGAGACCTTGATGATCCAGTTGTAAAGCAGTACTTAGTGTTGACTCAGCGAATTTTTAGAAGGAAGACGAGCCGGCTTCCCTGAGCCTTTAGCTGAAGATCCCGTCCTATCTCCTCCTCCACTCTTCTTTCTGTTAAGACTGTCAGCATATTACCAACCTAGTACAACTAAGAAGTCGTTGCTCTTCTTTAGTTCCTAGGATTTAAGAGGAAAAAGGAAAAACTCCCTGTATCTATAATTTAATAAAAGAAAACAATAGACTGATAGCGTCCAAAAAGGAGTAAAGAGCCTCTCTTCCCTCGCAATTGCTTTGAGAAGGAAGGTTCTGGTGTGGGTTCTGGTTTTGGCATAGGTTCTTGATGACTCTTAGTTCCTTTTGTAGAAAAGAGAGAAATGTAACCTTAGACTCACTGAGAACATGGTAGTCCTACACCACTTTGTTTAATGCTTACATTAGATACATGGTAGGGAAAACAGGTATACCTAATCGTAACACTGAGGTTTACATGATTTATTTTTATTGTGAAGTTAGTATCCGTAAGTTAAAATTTTGATTACAAAGCGAGAAAATGCTCCTAAAGAAAGATACCTAAGAGAAGCTAAAAGGGCATTTATTTGTTTCATATGTTTGTTTATGAGAGATAGAGACGGCACGAGTGGGGGAGGGATAGAGAGAGAGGGAGACACAGAATCCAAAGGAGGCTCCAGGCTCCGAGCTGTCAACACAGAGCCCGACGTGGGGCTTGAACTCACAAACCGTGAGATCATGATGTGAGCCGAAGTCGGACGCTTCACCAGGCATGCCCAAATGTGGAGTCAAGTATTCTTTGGTGGATGCAAGGAAAGCCAGAGGAGGGAGAGAGGCAGTATATGTGCGCCTAGGAATTCAAAATGTCGCATCATATGCGAGGCCCCTGGGGTTCATAATAAGCAACAGTAGAACTTTTGTCTTAACTGCACCATTCTTCTGCTTCAGAGTCCATAAAGGGGTGTTTTTGGCTTTCATGAATTATCAGGCTAAGTAAGACTTGTATTAGTTTGGTTTCAAAGCCAATAATCAATACCACGTTTGGCCTGGTTTTTAAAAACAAGTTTTACTATCTTTCTGTGATGAAAATGAAATATGGCTGCATCTCAGTAATGTGACTACAATCTAGGAGGATTTAGATGAGAAAAGCAGGCTTTCTGGCATAGCAGGTAAGGAAACCATAAAGGGGTTAATAAATGGGATGTACTTAAAGTCTAGAGGAAATCAATTCTTGTTTTTCGGAAACTTTGCACCAAGGAAAATTGAGTAGATGAAAGAATCGGCCTATATATCATTAGTGTTCTCAAATATCATGCTTAGCTACGTGAACCCAACACATTTGAAATACCAGCCCCCGAAAGAAAAGTTTTGTTACTTTCTTCACCAAATTATTAGTGTATTGAAATATATGAATAAGAGAAAAGGTGGAACTGGCCATTAAGTGGTGTTCTAGGAAGTGGCTTCATCTGGTAGTTGTTAAAACAATGTCATCCCAGAAAAGTTAACACGCATTTACTGACAATTTCCTAAATGCAAGACACTAAGCTGAGCTCGGAAGGAGGTATTGGACAGGGTCTCTGTTCTCAAGGAGGAAAATGAATAGTCCTATTAATGCAAGTACGTGAAATAATTTGTACTTGATTGTTGAAGAAGAGGATTATCCTGTAGGTGGTACGAGTTCAGAGGAGAAATTGATCACTGATAGAGAAGCTGGCAAAAGGTCCACGGAAAGGAAAGACACATGAGCTGGATATGGAAGGGCAGGTGGGGCGTCGATGGGCAGAGGCTAATACTAACAAATTAAGAGATAATTGCACATTTACTTTGTACTCAACACTATTCAAGGATCAAAGTAATGTGATTCACACTCCTACTAAGTTGGAGGTGACAGTTCAGCAGGGTGGTCTAAAGAATACTACGTAAATGTTTGTTTACTTTATGCACCTAAAATGCAAAGCGAGTGATTAAAAGAGGGCATATAGGTTCGTAGGAGCCACAATTCAGAACAGGTACCAAAGACAGGCGGAGAGAGAAGGCTCTGCAGAGGAAGGGTTTAGGGTAGGGAGTAAATTCGGTCCTAGACTGTGTGTAGGCTACGGGCAGGTGAAGGACAGGCAGGAGAGGCGGGGGAAGACAGGTAATGGCCAAAGGGTTGTAAGCATTTTAAAGGGACAGGGAACGGGAAGTAGTCGGGCTGAAGCAGAGTATTTCTGTTCAAAATACCAGGCATTGGTCAAAACACTTAGTGAGTTTCAGGTGATAGAAACTGAAATTAGGCTGGCTGTAGCTGTACAGATTTTTCAGTTCGTAGAGATAAAAAGTCTAAGTTGGTGTTGGAAGCTTTGGAAATATCATTGATCATACTTTCTGCTGCCTTCCAGTTCACAGGTAAATCAGAAGTTACAGGAAAAAATCAGAGAGCGAGAGCAAAACACTGGCTTTATTACTGATAAGGATAAATCGGAGAAGGTAGCCTGTGAATGTGGCACAATTTGGCTTCTACCTCTCAAGTCTAAGTCTTTCTGACTCGTTTTATTTATATTGTTAACCTTTTACTTAA